GGCAGGGAGCGAGAGAGTGGGAGAGGGGCCTGTGGCCAGGGCAGGGAGCAGCGGGACAGGGGGAAACGGCTTTACACTGGAAGAGGGGAGGTTTGGACTGGATCTAAGGAAGAAATATTTTACGCTGAGGGCGGTGAGGCCCTGGCACAGGCTGCCCAGAGAGGTGGGAGATGCCCCGTCCCTGGGAAGACTCAAGGCCGGGTTGGTCGGGGCTCTGAGCAGCCTGATCCAGCTGAAGGTGGCCCTGCTCGCTGCAGGGGGGTTGGGCTCGGTGGCCTCTGAAGGTCCCTTCCTACTCAAACTAGGCTGTGATTCTAAAACACCACACAACGAAACACTGCGTTAAAAAAATGTCCACTGCGTTCACGTCGGGCCTGTTTGATCGGAAATGTGATCGCAAAAGAATCCAATTGATTTGGTCTGCCCAGTCCTCTCAAAAGCAGTGTTGTAGCTCTCCTATCTTGTTCTCCTGCCCAGTGGGGACCTAGAGACTTAGAAGAATAGTTCTTAGCTGTAGTGCTTCCTCCTGTGCCCAGCAGCAGGCTGTGCCTGCCATCGCAGCGCTCGTTCCCTGCCGCCCCAGCCGTGGAGGGAGAGGTAGCTGCTTCCCTCCGCTTCCAGACTGGCTTCTGCCAGGGAAACTGCTCCTTGGTGCTGCTCGGGTCTGGGTACTTTCTAGGTAATTACGACAGTGCAAGTGCACAGATGTACGAGATAAACTTACCCATTCTCGCTTCTTTTTTACCACAGGATTATTCTTTGCCAGGTTTGTGTGCATGGTTTATAGCCTTATGAGCTCAAATTAACTTGGTGTTTCTTTATGATCCTGCACTGAGCGGGTGTGAAAGGAGGAAAATATTCTTGTAGTTCATATCTGTCTGGTTGGAAAGCTGAAAAAAAATCAGAAATAAATCTTCAGTAATGCTAGTGAAGCTGTGAATTAACAGCACTATAACTTATAAACTGTCTTAGAACATCAAAGATGTCTGTCTGAGTCTATCCCTTAGTCTCTAATTGATTAAGATTATTTATTACAGTTTTAAGCTGCTTTTTCTTTTAAACTTTATGCTCAAGTTTCCTGCTATCAACTTCTGTTGCAATAGAAATGGATCTAACGTTTAAAAACTTAAAAAAAAAAAATCGGCGTTGGAAAACTTGTTTGGTGGTGCTGGAATCCAAGGTCTGGGCAGCCATGGAAACCAGCAGATCTTTTTGATTGTAAAGCAGAGGCTGCTTTGGCACTGAGCGGGTGTGAAAGGAGGAAAATATTCTTGTAGTTCATATCTGTCTGGTTGGAAAGCTGAAAAAAAATCAGAAATAAATCTTCAGTAATGCTAGTGAAGCTGTGAATTAACAGCACTATAACTTATAAACTGTCTTAGAACATCAAAGATGTCTGTCTGAGTCTATCCCTTAGTCTCTAATTGATTAAGATTATTTATTACAGTTTTAAGCTGCTTTTTCTTTTAAACTTTATGCTCAAGTTTCCTGCTATCAACTTCTGTTGCAATAGAAATGGATCTAACGTTTAAAAACTTAAAAAAAAAAAATCGGCGTTGGAAAACTTGTTTGGTGGTGCTGGAATCCAAGGTCTGGGCAGCCATGGAAACCAGCAGATCTTTTTGATTGTAAAGCAGAGGCTGCTTTGGATGTGGGGTTGAGAGCAGGGCAGAGAAGCCTGGGCGTGTTTTAGTTTGTTGCTTCGGCCCCTTCTACAGGTTCTGGTCATACAGCAGAGGCTTTCAGTCTCTAAGACTGCTCCTTCACCAGCATTAGCTTGTAGGAATAAAGAACCAAAAGCAAAAATGGTATTATTAAGCTCTGTCATAATATCTAGACAAAGCTTGTAAATCTTTATATTTAAAAGATAAAAGATTTTGAGATTTTTAACACTTGGAACAATGAGCATACCTGACTGTATCAGATTTTCCCTCTGAAGAAAATAGTGGGATAGCTAATGTAGTTCCAGTTTGCTACACTAACACATTTTAATTAGTATGCATGGCTATTAAGGGCCTTTGCATGTATTGAAATGAAACCATAAGCAGCTACCGGATGGGGATAATACAGCGTAAGCTCTGTTCCGCAGCTTTCAGAGCTTCCTGACCAAAACCGTCCCCTGCAGCCCCAGTGCAGGCGGTCGTTCAGTAACGTTCTCTGGTGCTGGGGTGAGACTGTTGAGGGGAGATGCTGAGAGGAGCTTGGGTACAGCAGTCTTCGAAGGACGAAGGGGCCTTTGGTATGGTCTTACAGCCGGTAACCCGAAACATCGATTTCCTTATGGTCTTGGGCGTCTGGGCTTGGGATCCTGGAGTCGCCTGGCAGGGGAACGCTGGCAGCGTCCTAGGGAAGATGGCAACAATATATTGCTGAGACGTAACAGATGTGTTTCTCCTCGTCTCTTTTCCAGCTTAGGCAGACCATGACAAAGTTCTGTCAAGAGCATCTGGCTCCGAAGGCCCAACAGATTGACCAGGAAAATGAATTCAAAGGCATGCGGGCAAGTATTTCATGTGTGCGTTTAAAGTAGACGGCAGTGAAAGCCTGTCTGTACTTTGATCTGTGCGTTAACCCAGACAATCCCAGTCCACCCCACAGGAACACATGCATTCTTTTTTCAAACGTGCAAGCCATAGAGGAAACCAATTTTTTGATTTCCTGTTTTATCTTTTTGTTAACAACATTCAGCAACCTGGGGCAGAACCCAGGCAGCATGCAGTTGGGGGGAGGAAGCAGGATTGGTAGTGGTCGTGTTTGGATTCTTATCGTGGGATTTCTGCTCGGCTCTGTTCAGTCTCCTGCTCTGACACGTGCTTTGTGTTCTCCTAGCCAGGACCCCTTCTTGGACATCTGAGTTTCCTCTCAAACCTGTTGTGAAAACATTGTGTGCAAATGCTGAAACGTCGAATGGCTTGGCTGTCGAGCTGAAACTTGCCTTATTAATAAAAACAACAAATTCCGTGCAGCGGGGTGGTTCGATTGATGAAAGTGAGAGATCTAACTATTGGTTTTCATAAGCTCTGTAAGACTTAAAAAGCTCAGAACATCTGCTAGGATTTCCCAGAGCTCTGATGTTGACATTTTCAGGGATATATGCGCAGCTTTGAAGTTCAGTGTATAAATTTAGTCCAGCACACCAGATGTCATCCAGAGCTACCGAATAATACTTTCTGAAGTCTCTGGAGACTATTCCCTGGTAATTATCTTATCGCTGGGCGCTGAGGCCGTGGGACAAGCGTTCACCTGTATGTCCGTCATGTCGTGGAGGAGAGGCTGCAGTCTGAAGCAGCAGCAAAGAGATGGCCCCTCCAGCATGCGGGTGGTCCTCGTTGGTGACCTCCTTTGCTGCTGCGCTATGCCACGGCGTCGCTCTTACGCTGCGATGCCGTGTGCCCGAGGCAACGGATGCGTGTGTCTCGGTCTGCAGGCAGCTCTGTGCCTGGACCCTCGTGGCTGTCACCGGGGTGGTGGCGTTGCAGAGTGATAAATGTGGGTGATGGGCAGACGGAGGAGTCAGCGGTCAAGGAGGACAGCTTGCCCTCCTTTAGCTTCACAAGTCCCCAAGGTGTTTGCAAATTCTCTGTCGTGGTCACTGTTTATAACTTTTCTAGTGCTGCTTGCAAGGAGGCAGCGTCTCTGTCTGCCCTAACAGCCCCTTTTTTTAAGCTCTCCCAAGGAGGCTTCCTTGGCTTTGCTTACCAGTTTCTGTTTTACTAGAGGAGTTTTAAAGTGCCAGCTGATAGCAACTCTTCTAAGTATTTCCAGGGTTTCAGTCATGGATAGCTTATGCTAACTGCTGTTTGTGGCAGCCACCGGCTGGTAGCCCTACACAGCGCTGCCAAAGCACAGCGACAGGGAGGCGTGAGGTAACAGGCAAGCAGAAACTGAAGTCATAACATCCTAAATAATCTTTAGCAAGACATAGTCTATGAAAGCCTAGAAGTGCAGTGTTTTAAATTAATGGGAGGTTTTAATTCATCAAAATTCTCCTTAAACTGGGCATGGAGTTAAATCTTGGGACGTGTCCTTCCAGAATTAAATTTAGGCATGTGAATTTTCACTGAATTCATCGGACTGCTCTCATGTATAGCATAACTAATGTCCTTGAGTCTGTCTGGGCTCTTAGTCCAGAGGATGGAGCTGCTGCTGCAGGAGGAGTAGGTATTGATGTGTTTATCTCCCAGAAATCACAAGAATAAGGTAAATTGATGTGTCCCGTGAGCTGCCTGGGAAGACTTCTTACAGTGATGCCCTGACTGTGAGTCTGGACTGATTGCTTGTTCTGTATTTGTAGGAGTTCTGGAAGAAGCTGGGGGAACTGGGAGTTCTGGGGATCACAGCTCCTGGTAAGTCTGTTCCCACCTTTCACCTTCTGCTGGGTGATTCTTCAGACAAAAGAGAGACTGCTGAAACTCGCCCTTTCCAGTTCCCAACAGCCTCATCTGTGATGTGACATCCGTTTTGTCCAGAAGCTCCTGTCTTCGTGTTTTTTAAAAATTCTTTCAGAACTTTTGCTGTTCTTCGCTGATTCAGAATCCTTTTTCCTTGTTAGACTTCTGGGCGGTTGCAAAACACCTTTTACAATTTAAAAGTCCTGTTCAGAAATGGTTTCTCCAGATGCAACATATGCAGCTCAAACGTGTTTGCTCTTTGCTAATATGAAGCGTTTGCTGCCAGTTTTGAAGAACGAGAGCTATAGATAAAAGTATCCTAGAACAAACATCCATCTCTAATGGGAGAAGTCCGAGGGTGTGAAACAGTGCTGTGAAAAGCTGTGATAACCAATGGAGAGCTGACCACATCCAACCAGTCAGAAAAAATCAGGGTAAATCTCATTCAGCCTTGTCCAGGTTGGTTGAAAAGTGTTTTGATTAATGTTATAGATTGCTGCGGCTGCCATGGTGGTGCTGAATGCGCTGGCGCGGTGTAATGAGGAGAAGCCCTCAGTGGAGAAAAGCAGCCAATGGGGCCTTTATTTCCCCGTCGTAAAGTCTGTGTTTCTGGATGTGCGTCTGCAAAGGCTTCTGCAGAAGCACGCTGAATAGCAATGCGTTGAAATAATGCCTCTGCGTTTCTTTCAGTGGCACTGAGTCTGCTTGAAAGAGTCTGCATTTCTGCTTTCTTTCTCTTTACTCTTCCCAATTTACTGCTGCTCCTGTTTCTTCTCACTCTTACCTTCTTTCTTCTTTGATGTTGTGCCTGAGGCTTACAGCAGTTTCCCACACTATAAATAAGCCGTCTGCTCATAAGTCCTGTCCTTCTTGATTTCCTCAAAGATTTACCTCGAAAACTCTCCTATACCCAGAATTTTTTCCCTTATTTTGGTTGTATAGTTGCGTGCGCTTGCTTTAATGGCATTGGTTTTGTTGTAGGAGGGGGAGGCTGGGGTTTGGGATGTGAAGATAATGTGAAATCTCATGAGGGCATATGCTCGATTAAATGGCGTGTTTGGGCACCAGTGGATCAAGTCTATGAAGGGGGCATTTTAAATAACAGTGCTTTTTGTTTTCTTCTTGAAACTAAGGAAACTACGTTGGTTTGTAATTTTCCATTTATTTTATAAAGAGCTAAGTTAAGACATGCTAATACATAGCTACCGTGGAACGATAATGCAGGCACGTCACGTATAAAGAGTAATTTTGAAAGGGCAGCGCCGTTCTGCACTGCGCTATGGTTTGTATTATACGAGAAGTGGTCTGGCAGGATTATTTTCTCGTACCTCTTGCAGTACAAAGCGGTCATGGGCCGGCACTGCTGGCAGCAGGCAGTTCCCTTCCCTTTCCTTTCTTGAGGCGATCGCACCAAACCCATCCGCTCTTAGGAATGAAAACTCTCTTGTTTTGGCACGTATGAGAAATTGTTAAACCCGTCTTTTAGGATCTTGGTTGTTAAACCCTAAACTGATTTGTGGTAGAGAGGGGTGATTTCAGAGGATGAGGAGCCCTGCAGGTGAAGACAGGGCTCGGGCTGAGTGACGCGGGAGGGAGGGCTGCGCATAATGCCGGTGGCTGTGGCGTTAATTCGGCCAGCGAGGGACAGTGGCCCTTTTCGAGCCCAGGTTACGCGTTCAGCTCTGTGGTCGCTCTGAGCACACCAACAGCTTTGCTCTCACCGTTGCTGCTGCTTGCTTGCAGCATTCGTGCTGATAACGAGCAAGCGCTCCCGGGTTACCTCCCCAGCCGCTTCGCAGTGTTTGTGCTGTCCTGCTTTCGTTCTTCACTTGTTTCTTGCCTGTAGAACAAAGCTTTTCGATTGGGATGTGACTGTATTTGCGTGTATATCATTGTGTGTGTAGGTATATATATGTACGTATATATTTATGTAGGCTGTTAGCTGCTCAAGGCCATCATGCATTTCTCAGCATTCTCTTTTTCTCCTGCCTTCTCCCTCTCCCCCCGTTCTACTGTGTGTGTTTAATCTTTACCACTGGGTTTAGACTCAGCTCAGTGTGCCTAGCTGGATTCCCGGTTATGATGGTCGTGCTGCTCTGTCTCACTTCATCCGCTCTTGAAATCCCCATGCTCGGTACTGGGGAATTACAGCAATTACAGTTATGGATCATTCTCATTCTGAGTCGGCCACCCATCAAAATGCTGGTCTCCTGCACACTTGTGGGCTTAGAGAAGTCCCTAGTGCCACACTTTTCGAGCAGTCTGAGGGTTCCTCACGTGCTCAGGGGTCCTTGTTATGACAAACATGCGTGGGCTTTACAAACTGTGCCAGTGTTCCTCTGTCCTCTCACCTAGTACAGGTTGCAGCTTTGTGCTTTAGTCTTCCTGAGAATATTAAGGTTGCACTCTAAGGATGGTTGACAAGAAGCACTCACTGTTGTGCAAGTGTCGGTAGCAAGTTTTAGATGTATCCTTATACGTGTTATATGTATGAGGCTGTGCTGTGCAAGGAAATTATTGATTATGCTGAAGAAGTAATGTCACTGTGCCTTTATGGCAAGAAAACTGAAATCCAAAGAGGACAGGGAAAGCCAGAGGTGCCCAGCTCAGGGACATCGTCAGTCGAAACCAGAAGCTCTCTTGTAAATGTCTTGGATATCGTTCAGGACTGAGCCCGACCCTGGGATCCTGTGCACGTGTGATATACGCTGTGGTGGTTGACCAGAAGTTTCTCTTCTCTTCTTAGTGGAATATGGTGGATCTGCTCTGGGGTATCTGGACCACGTGCTGGTGATGGAGGAAATTTCTCGTGCATCAGCAGCTGTTGGGCTTAGTTACGGTGCCCACTCAAACCTCTGTATCAACCAGCTGGTGCGTAACGGCAGTGAGGCCCAGAAGAACAAGTACTTGCCGAAGGTACAAGGTTGGAACGGGGGGGAACTGGAAAGCGTTTGGGTTTTGGCTGCTTATGAAGGGAGGAGAGTCTTTCACGGTGTTCATTCAAAAAAGGCGTAGATGTGGCACTTCAGGACGTGGTTTAGCAGGCGTGGTGGTGTTGGGTTGGTGGTTGGACTTGATGATCTCAGAGGTCTTTTCCAGACTTAATGATTCTATGATTCTATGATTTCAATCACCCAACCTTCAGGAAATATTTTACTTGCCAAACTTGCCCTTCTCCAGCTTGTTAATTTTTGTCCTGTTAATCCATACTGACCTCGGCCTGTGCTGAAGTCCATGTCTGTTGGCAGCATAGTCCAGCTCTCTGGAGCTGCGTTACTAAATGAGGCTTTGAGGTGATGCTGGAAGACACCCTTCCAACTTCCCAAATTGTTTTGAGATTTCTGAAAGAAGGTTGCTGCTTTCCTACTTTATATTCTCCGTTTCTCACTGCCCAGATGCTTGGGTTGGCTATGCTCATTAACTACACGTGAAACAACTTGATCATTTGGGGCATTGATATTTGTGACTCAAAAGCATGTCATTAAACAGATTTTGGTATCTAAATGCATGGAAAAACTTAACAAGTACATTGAATCCCAGCTACTGAATTATCAGCCAAATTATTAGCATGAGAAACTTGATTTAAACTGCGTGCAGAGTACAGTGTCACCTCCCCAAAGCATTGTGCAGCCTGCTAAGACGGAACCCTGAATTGTCCCCGTTGCTGCTCAGGTGTATTTTAATGCCCTCGTTCACTGCCTTTCAGTATGAGGTGTGTGATTAGTTTAGTTCTTGCCTTCGTTCATGACAGAGTGCTTAGTGGTACTTAACTACTTTTGAGCATGTCACAAAGACTTCTGTAGAAATGCACTGATGGATTGAGCGGGTTGAACATGTATCGTAAGCATGGAGCCTGGTTTTAAAAAAGTAAAAGGAGGAGAAGGCTGATAAAAGTGCACAGGGAATTAAAAAAAAAAAAGCAAGGAGAAAAGGGCAGGACGAAGAGGAAGCAACAGTGATGCCAGAGCCTGGTGTGAGCAGGCACGGGAGGAGGGTGTCCATCTGCTATTGTGGTGCGAGTGTGGGGGGACCGGGCTGTGAGAATGTCGGCAAGAACTTTGCAATCTCTTTTCGTCCCCCTCATTGGCCTTTTGTGTTTTACACCTCTGGCTTGTGTAAAAGGGCAGACATAAAGAGCAGAACCAGGAGCCTGTGAAAGGCATATGGCTGCCTGCATGGTTCTTCTGGCACCTTCCCGGAGACCGTGTTTTCTAAGCAGGGCTGTGCTCACCTAGCGCAGCCGCGAGCTGAGTCATCCTTCTCATCCCACCGTGATTTGGTTCTGGTCCCGCAGCACAGCAGCACGAGGGAGCTCCCTGCTAGGGCTCTGCCAGGAGCAACGCCTCTCGTCTGCAGTTCTCGCGTAGAACAGCTACTGTGCAGATTCAGTACAGGAAAAAAACCCACAGGTGGCAGGCTGAAGAGGGAACAGAAACAATGCTACTGTTCTTCCTCCCTTTCTTACAGTTGTCTTTTCTTCCAGCTGATCAGCGGGGAGCACATTGGCGCCTTGGCAATGAGCGAACCCAATGCTGGATCTGATGTTGTGTCCATGAAGCTGAAAGCAGATAAGAAAGGTAAAGCCTGCCATGTGCTGCCTGGATAGACAGTGGGTGTAAATAATGTCTCCTGTAAGTTTAGACTAACCTGCCCAACACCACTGAGATACGGTGCTTGGTCTTGGGTACACCAGGCCGTGTTTGCAGGCTTGGGCTGCCTCCCAGGAGATTCAGTGTGTGATGAAGCCAGGTGGTGAAGATGCAGGGTGCGTGGTTGAAGGACCCAAAGTGGACTTCTGATTGTGGTGCTGGAGGTTGGTAGTGTGATGGAGCCAGTGGTAGGTGCCTTAGTTGGTCAGGCGTTCATTAAACTGCCTTTGGACTCCAGAAGTTAAAGAAATGAGTTGTCTTGAGCTTGGGAAGGATTTGTGCGTGCTGTTTATGGGGCTCTTAAAGAGCATCTTGCAAACCTGAAATAGATGGAGTGAGGCTATAGGTTTGTTGTCAGCTAACAGATTGCAGCTCTTTGCTTCTAGGAGACTACTTTGTTTTGAATGGGAACAAATTTTGGATCACCAATGGGCCGGATGCAGATGTTCTCATCGTTTATGCGAAAACTGATGTTAATGCTGTTCCAGCCTCCCGAGGTATAACTGCGTTCATTGTGGAGAGGGTAGGTTTGATTATTCTCACAAGCTTATTGCAGTGTGGTTTTTAAAGCTAACTCCTTCACTGCAGCTGGCTCTTTGGGAAGCTAGCTAGTTTTATTTCTGTAACTGTCAGCCCCTTGCTCAAAGACAAACTACTTTCTGCCTGAATTTTATAAACCGATGAGATTAGTCCTCTGCCCTGGTGACACGGCTCACTGCACTGTCAGCTGGGCACTCCTGGGTTTTGGTATGCAAGCAAGTCACGAGTCTTTAGGGCTAGAAATGTAGAGAGAACAGACAGGATTCTAATATAAAAGGGCTTGCTTGTTGCTAAAAATTGTCATTGGAGGCCTTGTAAATATGTCCTGCTATCCCATTATCTAACTTCATGTGGGTTTTTTTTAAGCCAAGACGTTAAAATAGCTCTATTCATTTTTTCCTCTCCATTTTCTTGTGCTGCCCCTTCGGAATCCTGAAATGGCCCAAAGATGCATGCAAAGCAGAGAGGCCAAAGGGAGCAGACACGGGCTGTTCAACGGGGAGCCCTTGGCCAGCAGGGATCTGTTGGGTTTTTTCTTCCCTTCTAATTTTTTTTTCATGCTATACGCATCTCTGTCACCGCAAGGAAGACAGGAAGCTGCAGTAAAATAAATGTTACCGGAAATACAAAATCTTAGAGATCAGTAAACCTTCTGATGGACTTAACCTGACTGAGTGATTAGAATAGTTCAGTTACCTTCAAAGCTTGCAACCCTTATTCCAGGAGAGTCAGTGCTGGCAGCTGTCTGAATAAATTATTTATTTAATATCTGTGTGCTTCCTCTGTACTCGCACTGAGACCTGTTCTTGTTCCCAGAGTGGGCAGTTCACCCTGACTCCCTGCTGCTACCCCCACGCGTGTTCACGTGGTCAGGGAAATTCCACAGACATCTAGTGATTTTGTTTAGTCTGTCAGAATTGAGATTTGAAATGGGTTTTTACTGTCTTGACTTTGCAGGGAATGCCAGGTTTCAGCACAGCCCAGAAGCTCGATAAGCTGGGAATGAGAGGGTCTAATACCTGTGAATTGATCTTTGAGAACTGCAAGATCCCCGGTGAGTTGGGTTCGAATCGTGGCAGTATGCATGTGGTGGTTTCCTGTCTTCTTCATCAGATAAATTGGATCACTAATTACATACATGTTCAGACTGTGACCTGGAGGGCTTTGCAGATGGTTATCTGCTCTTTGGCAGCCTGGCGAGATTGCTGGTGAAACTGGAAAAGTGCAGTCTGCTGGATTGCAGTGAGCGAGCACATCCTTCGTTAGGTCGCTGCTGTTCCACCCTCGTGGACCTAACTCCCAGCCACTGCTTCTGCAGAGCCTAGGGGAGGCTTCCCGAGAGACTTGCCTGTTTCTGTTAGAGCTCCCCATCTTGTGTATAGGAGCGCCTGTTTGCCTTGATTGGTTTTTTTTCCCCTCCGAACTCAGTGGAGACTATCCAACAGCTTCTGGTGTGCCTGTGATTTCTGAGTTCTTTTGGGGTCAGGGCATGAAAATGGACATCTTTTCCCCCATTAGTTAGTACAGCAGGGGTTGCTGTAATGGCCGTTTTTGTTACTCCAGTGGCCATTTTTGTTGATAGAAAAATTACAGGCTCTGTATAGCAGGCAGAGGAGATGCCTTATCTGAACTCGTGAAGATCCTAATTGCGTATCTGCAGAGCGAGCAACTCTCCTGCTCCCCACACACCACCCAACGCTGCTTTGCAGTAAGTGGAAGAATTTCAGCTGAAATCTGACATTTCTAACTTTATTGGATCCCCCCGCTCTGAAATCAGAAAGGCCAGTGCCCCGGTCTTCAGATCATCTCCTGGGTGATCATCCGTACCGAGCAGCATGTTCTCATGGTAACGGGATTTCCATTTTCTGAGAACTCGGAGAAGCACATCGCTGCAGCGTTGAAAGGTAACACGCTTTGCACTCTGGCCATTAATGCCGCTTCTGATCTTCTGCCTCGGAAGCTGAAGCAGTTCAGTGCCATTTCACATGTCTGCAGCATCTTTCTCTCAGATTAAGGTGTCCTCTAGCACTGCAGCTCCCTCCATTTTCAGACGCGTGGGTTCCTCTGGCAGCCGTGCCTCGCTGAGGGGCTGGTGTTTTTCTCACAGTAACTGCTGTCCGTGGATTCGGTCGGTCATGCTGCTTTGGTAAAAGTTGGTTCAGAGCCCCAGCTTTTTATATTTTTGCTGTGGTATGCCTTGTTTGTGCAGTCGGCACGCGTGGCCTTCAGCTCACCACATACCTGTCCATCCCTCTTCCCTGGACGTACAGGAAAGTGTGCAGGTTATACAGTCCTTTTCTTAAGCTGTGAACTGTCATCGCTCGTGAACAGCTTTGTCACTTTATTATTGCTGATGCTGGCGTTTGTGTTCTGTTCTTCAAAATAATGTCTGCTATTAGTATTTCTCTTTCTTGTCTGTGAGGCTTTTGAGCGTTTTCTTTGAAAGCCAAGCTTCATTCTTCTTCTTCCTTTTTCTAGCTCCAATTTTGTGATGAAGGCCCTGCAGAGGCTGCACTTCTCCGTACGCTACATCAACATGCTCTTTAATAAGCAAGAGACAATGCAGTCCGTGAGCTTATGCTGCTGAAAAGCAGATTATTTATTTCAGGAGACTATCTGCGTGTGTCCACAAGCCCTGTCTCATTTTCACTTTGTGTATCACACCTCTCAGATCTCTTGTGATCAAAGCCTGAGGAATATGTCAGGTCTCCTGTATGGCGTGAACAGTGGATAATCTCTGTCCATCTACAAAGCACAGCTGTTAGGTTTGAAGTTCTCTCCTGATTTTGTAAGAGTACAGCCTTGCTGAGACGACCCTTTTGTTCCTGCTTCTCCTCTTACACCTGTTGACATCAGCACGTGCTTTAGATTGTCCCAAAGGGAAGGGGTTTCTTTAGTTTTTTTTTTTTCTCAGCCCATTATTTAATGTGGCTATTTTCCAGTTCCATTTTCACAGAAATAATACTTGTCTTTGAAAACGTTTATTTATAACAACTGCAATGTTCTGTTGAGACCCCTCACAGAAGGGGGGAGAGGGAAGAAGTTCTTCCTCATGTTCAGACGGAACTTCCTGTGCCTCAGTTTGTGCCCATTACCCCTTGTCCTGTCACTGGGCACCACTGAAAAGAGCTTGGACCCATCCTCCTGACACCCACCCTTCAGATATTTGTAGGCTCTCTGATCTCTGAAGACTCATATATCTATGTGTCACTCCGACGTGTGAGAAGCGGTGAGCGTGGACCGCTTGCCTGTGTGAGCTGTGGCTCCTGTCCTGGGAGTGCCCAAGAGGCGGCCCAGGCAGATCAGACCTGGGTCTGCACGCATTCAGATACGCACTCGGTCGGCATCGGGTGGTAACGCTGTCAGCTGGGGTTAGATCACAGAATCACAGAATGGTGGGGGTTGGCAGGGACCTCTGTGGGTCACCCAGTCCAACCCTCCTGCTGACGCAGGGTCACCTACAGTAGGCTGCACAGGACCTTGTCCAGGCGGGTCTTGAATATCTCCAGAGAAGGAGACTCCACAACCTCCCTGGG